GTGTGTGTGTGTGTGTGTGTGTGTGTGTGTGTGTGTGTGTGTGTGTGAGCCGATAAGTGGGTGGAGGTTTCCCCCCCTTAAATTCCACTTCCTGTATTTTGAAGTTGCACATCTACATGTCAAAATAAACAACTGCACATCATGGAACACATGCATTCAAACAAACTGGCACAAACCTGCTCACTTCACAGGGTCACACAGGTGACAGAGGGAGAACTCTTCCTTCCTTCCCTTCCATTTTATGTCTTGCTAAGTGTATATAGATTGTATCTCTGCTGAAATTACAATGCTATTAGCAGCTATTCCTCACTTTTCTGTTTAGTGTAGCTGAACCCACAAATTCGAGACAAACAAAAACCTTCAATGAAAAACACACACTAGCGCGGCAACGAGGCCAAGATGCGATTTTTCACACCTTCACACAGGATCTGAATATTTATTTCCTTTGAATGGCTTTTGAGCGTTCTCTGGTCAAATCTGTGTTGCAGATGTAGCCACAGAGCTCACAGAAAGCCTCATCAATGAATCAGTTGTAGGCAAGAGATTTCTGTGAGAAACAGTGTTGAGATAATTAGTTGGATTAAACAGATGGATGGACAGATTGCTAGAAGAATGAAAGGATCAGTGGAGTGGAGCTCTGCTTTGTTTAAAAACAATGTGTAAATGAATTTATATGATGACAAAAACATATACTTTACCTCTTTATATTTACTAATTTACTCTTTTCTTCGATTGTATGCAGTTTTAGGATGTACCGGTATACGTAATCATGATTGTGGAATTAACTGAAAGCTGGGGGTGGCAGATCTGTGTAAAACAACATATAGACAGTATGTGAGAGCAGTAATCCTGAAATGATTGCAAAGGACAAAGAATTTGCACATGTGGGTGCAGGGTGAAGTCCATCCTTAGAGCTGGCGGTGAAGATGAGGTAATGTTTTACATAATTCGCTAAAGACATGAGGCACTTTGGGAAGTCTTTTACAGGAACTCATCCCACCAGGGAAAATGTAAAACTTGCAGAAGAAACAGTGAAGTCCAAAAAATGATCAGGTGATTAGAGTGGAAAGTGGTAGAATTAACACAAACAAAGCTGAATCATCAAAACTTTCTTCATATTTGTTATGTATTGTAGTTTTTTTTTTGTAGTAGATTTTGTTGCAAAAAACAACAATATTACAGGTTTTATATACAGCTGAACTACAATATTCTAGAATAACAAGATATGTTTATGTATACATTTCTAAACATTTCAGCCCAGGGTCTAAACCACAAAACCATACAGAATCACATTCAACTACCTGTTTGACTTGGGATCAGCTCTGCCTTAGTGTACACCTTTACACACATGACATACACAAACTATCAACAATGGCATATCTCAACTCCAAATTTGAAAGCCTGGTGGGATGATACCTCATGCCTAAGAGCAATCATTAAAATTATTCAAATGAACCAACCTGTGCATACAGTGCTTTGCAAAGGGAACAGCCATCACAATACCTGGCCTAAACCTGTCCAATCGCGCCCATGCAAATGTCCTCAGCTAAAGAGTCAAAGGGTCCCAGGCTTCATGTTGGACCGACCATGGGAGAATTTGCATATCCTGGCTCCCTTCTCTCAATTTGGTTTCAGATAACAAGATGTAGTTTTAAAAACTTGCCCTCGAGGGAAAAAAAAACTAATGCTCAGTAAACTTTGGGGCTTGTGCAGCAAACAGCCATGACTAGAGCAAGCTGGGATGTGATGCAGACACTACGTTCACATAGGGTTTTCAGTGGTGTTTTAGATAATTTCTTAAGCTTGATCTGTTTTAGTGACCCACTTTCCCCGTGTGGGCATCTTGAATTGCAATCTTGCAGGATGGCTGCTATGTAATTAAGAATTTGAATAGATCAAAAATACCACCTCCTCGAGGCAAAAAGTGACTGGAACAATGCTTGTGTACACAGGTGTGTGTAGGAATTAAGCCTGCAAGTGACTGCATCCAGGAAACCATCTGATATGTCATGTTACTGCCCTGTAATTATAATTATACATGACAATCAAGCTTTAAATCTTATCATCTTAAACTTCATTCACCACATGTGTAACCCCTCAATAAATGCACTGTACTCCTCCATCAAATAGTGACATTTTTTAGGCTCTAACAACATGTGCATGTGTATAACCCTTTATCAGCACACTATTATGAAGACTAGCCTTGGACAATAGAGAGCCCTGGGGTGATGGTAATTACAAGTGACCAGGACAATACGGTCGCGTATGGAGGAACTAATACAATAAGAAGACACATTTATACAAATAAAGCATTAACTCCCCCCTGCTCCTTGTTCCTACAATGAATGGCTGAGCAAGAACAACCCTGGCACAGAGAGTTAAGACAGTTCAACCAAAACAAACTAGTCAAAAGAAACAACGAGCAGTTAAAAAAAGAAAAAAAAAGAATGTTGACAAGTTTGGTGAAAGTTATGCACAAAGTATTTTTATCAGTCATCTTTCCAAGAAATAATTAAGTGGACTATTTGCAATGGTTAACAATAACTCAAAAGGAAACTTTAGGAACAATATAGGGAGCACAAAGGCGCTCGTGAGCGCTTTGAAGGCAGTTCAGCTATGAGTTATATGCGCAATAAATGCCCACAAATAAGTTTATAGCTCCTGGATTTCTTTAACTATGTTTATGTAGGCGAGCACAAAGCTCGCTTTGTGGCGGAACGATAAGGCAAGGTTTTGTTGCGAGTTTTATCTGAGGGAAACATCTGCAACACCAGTGGGTAATCCACGAACAGGTGGCCCGGCACTGCGAGTATTGTCACTTCACTTTCCTCATGTGCTAACCTGTTCTTCTTCACAATCTCGCTCAGATACATTTGTACGGCCCTGTTAACTAAAAATGAATTGGAAAAAAAGAAAAAAGTTAATCATTGGTTGTGCCAAAGCTTTTAGCGCGGAATACTACGATGAGAGCGCCTAGATGAGGCGACCTTATAGTGTGGGTTGAGTACTTCACTTGAACCTCGTAAATATTGCAAACAACTTTCACCATCATACTTTTTTCTTTTTTTACACGAGAAAGGATTAAGAGACATTACAATTTACTAGATCCACCTCCATTAGCCCATAAACATTCACATGACTACATACTTTCACTTTCAAAATACACTACAGCCAACTCGTATGGATATTGATATCCTGCCTAAAGAGTTAAATCAAGTTCGCTCTGTGAATCAAATTATGTCAAACTGTACTGTAATAGTTTGAATATAACTCAAACTGTTCTGGTAAACATACATTTAAGTTTTCTGATGCTCACATAAATGTGCTTGAAATACCGGTGTTTCTAGTGAAATGAAGAAAAATCGGACTGTACCTGAAGTATACTCTTTCGGAACATGCGCAGTCGAGTGGAATAGATGAGGAGCGCCAAACTGACCGGGATGCGAAGGGAGGGAGGAGCACACTTAGAGCTGCTGTAGTTTAAATTAATGTCAACCTGCCTCCTCGCCAGGAGAAGAAACTCATCGCAGATAGCGAAAGTACACGCTCGGCGCCACCGCTTGCAAGCCGCTGTCCAGACTATAACATGACTCGGCGGCCGAGAAACAGGTACACTTATACCAATTACTTTCAACTTTTTTTTCATTTAGCAGTGTGTACTTATTTTATTCTCTTGTCTGCTGTTTCTGATTATGCATGAGACTGAGTGGCTGTGGAGCTCTTTTAGAATGTGTTTTGGGTTTTTTTTGTTCTCCATAATGTGCGTTTTGTGCTGTTGTTTCACATGTAAGCCGTTTTGTTGGCAGTTACCGCTGACTGGTGGTGTGTTTGTTTCGCTCGCGCCAATGACAGGTGGTGGTCATCTGGCATGTGCGCCGCTCGCGCTGCTGTCATTGAGAGACTCACGCTCACGCGCGCGCATTAACGCCACGCTGTGAGCAAGACGGACGCGAAAAAGAACACTAAACACTAAATAACTCAAAGACATACAAAATAACGATGTATTTAAGAACTTTGAGCCGTTCCGGATAGTTAAATGTACCTCAGGAAGGACTTTGAAAATGTTCAGATTTTTTCACGTTAAGTTCTGATGACAATAACTCACGGTGACAGAGGAAAGCGTTCGTTTTAGCATGTTATAACGTAAAGCACAATCTAGCGGGCATGAAGGTAGTTTTAAACCCACCTTTTTTAAAACTTCCAGTGTCTCATCTCTGAATAGACGAGCGCTCCCTGTTATTTTGGAAAGTGCGCTTTCACAGCCTCCTCTGCAGTGGCTGCACTTCTCTCTAGTAAAAACTGCTGGTTTGTTTCCTTCTTTTTTACTTTTTTTTAAAATGTTGCTAGTAGACTCACATCGTCAGAAAACAACCTTATTTTAATTATCTTACCGTCATATTTTTTCTTTTGTTTTTCCTCGATTGCCACAACTTTTTTTTTCTGAAAAACATCTTCACCAACAAGCCAGCTTGTGAAGTTCTTAGTGGGGTTTTGATGGTTTCCAGTGCGGGTTATTGGCTCGTTTTCTGGTGTCACACAGATAATCTGAAGAAATTACCACGGAGGCACAATTGTAACCCAAACATCTTCATTATTGTAAGGGGACAAGTGCTGTGATCATTAGACATTTATCTGATAAACCTGTTGATTGATATTAGGGTTGTTGTTTGTTGTATTTTTTTAAGTGGGTGTACACTCGTTTTTTTTCATTGTGTTCTGAAATCCTTATGCTTCTGAAATAGTATGCTAAGTTATAGACATCCAAAATGCTTGAAATAATCAGGGTATTTACGTATTTGCACAGATCTTGATTATCAGTAGTCCGACATTTTTATAAGCAAGATGGTGCACAGTAAATAACTCACTTAAACAGTGGAGCTACTTTTCACCTGTTGTGCTGTACCTGGTTTCCATATTTGTGCTCCACATTCTGATTGGTTAACCAGCTACGTAGTGTGTGTGTGTGTGTGCGTGTGTGTATGCATGCATGCATGGCTGGGCTGTACAATGCCACTGCAGGTCTGAACACGCCAGGGTCACAAAATTATGATGCATGTGCCAATCCCAGTATCTGTGGAAACCAAAAACACTGGAACCTGTTCATCCTTCTCTCTCCCTCCCTCCCTCCCTCCCTCCCTTCAATTGCTTTTCCTCTACTTCTCTGCCTTTCTTTCTGACTCTGCTTGTGGGTGTCTTGGCTAGAAGCCTGCACCCAAACCTTCAAGAATGACTGGTTCTCTGTCTGTTTTGTCACCCGATGAGTTAAAGAGCAGGTTTGAAGATATGATTAAGTGGTGTGACAAATGGACACTTTTTGTTTAATTATTTCCCTGTTTAATATCTGTCCCATGTTGTTTTTCCAAATAGATTTAATGTGCTCTCTCTCTGTTTGTCTGCAGTGTTTACAGTAGTGAGGAAGATGACGAGGAGACTGAGATGTATGAGCATGATTATGATGGATCAGTAGTCAAGACAGGAAAACGTCACCTTGGCAAAACACGCTGGACTCGAGAAGAGGTACACAGACGAGCACCTGTCCGAATTATACAAATCCCAGCTGTTCTCAATAAAATATGTTTATATGTCTTTATTTGCCTGATTCTTTTTTCCACTATTCTCAAATTTGCTTGGGCTGTTGTTAACTGCAGTGACCAACACATTGTCTTTTTTTTCAGGACGAGAAGCTAAAGAAACTTGTGGAGCTTCATGGTTCAGAAGACTGGAAACTCATTGCCAGCCTGTTAACTGTAAGTAGGTCCCTGGTTATATGGCTTCCAATAGAAGTGAACAGTGTTGTGCCCTCTCTGAGGTTTTATGGCGAGTTCCTGGGTGCTTATTATGCAGATATTTTGATATCTACTTGCAAAGAACTTCTCACAATTTCATTTTGCTATGTGTTTTTGCTCTCTCAACCAAATAGAATCGTACAGATGTGCAGTGCCAGCACAGGTGGCAGAAAGTTCTCAACCCAGAGCTCATTAAGGGGCCTTGGACCAAAGAGGAGGACCAAAGGGTAAGGAAACAAAACACTTTAGAAGCAACTCCAAATTCCCTAATAGGATGGTAATAACAATGTAAACATTAAATCACCTCTATCTGAAGAACAAAATAAAGATGGCCTTTAGTACTACTACAGCATTGCTAGTGTAGGAACCTATTTAAGGTAACACAGTCAGTTTCCACTCACAGGAAAGAGGCAGTAAGGTGAAAAAACAATTACCTTATGTTGCTGTGTGATTAAAGCAACCACTCTGGAGCAATTCCTCGTCTGCCGTTGCACATTTTTAGCTGCTGTTACGCAACTTCTAGCATGTTTTGTTTCTTACAACCAGTCGAATATTTCTTGAGCTTTTCCAAAGGAGTTATATTTCCATCCAGATGCCACTTTAATGATTAGCAGAGTGGCTAACGTTCCTCTGGAAACTCCCTCTCTGCTCACAAGCAGGTGTTCGCTATCAATCCCACTAGTAGAAAAATGAAGAGAAAAAGTCAGAGGATAAACTGAATGAAATCTGTATTATTCCAGCAATTTCTTCACTTTTCTTTTCTTTTTGTTGTGTCTTTTCTTCTTCCCAATTGCCTGTCATTTCTTTATACCCTTCTACTTCTCTCCTGTCCTTCCTTTATTACTCCTTCTCTCCCCTTTCCTCACACCCCTCTTTTACTATTTACTTCTCTCCCTTTTCAACACTCCCCCTTCACCTGTTCACTCCAGGTGATTGAGCTGGTCCAGAAGTACGGAGCCAAGCGCTGGTCAGTCATCGCCAAACACCTGAAGGGACGGATTGGCAAGCAGTGCCGGGAGCGCTGGCACAACCACCTCAACCCAGAGGTTAAGAAGACTTCATGGACCGAGGAGGAGGACAGGATCATCTACCAGGCTCACGAGAAGCTGGGAAACCGCTGGGCTGAAATCGCCAAGCTGCTGCCCGGCAGGTGAGGCTGATGTCTAAGACGGCAAGGGAGGGAAAGAACAGACAGGCTAAATGAATCACTGAACCTTTGCTGGTTAGCTGCGCAACGTTGTGGTTAAAAGGGTGAAATAGAGGGGAAGGACACTCGTGAAAGGTTGAACTCTGAGTGAGAAAAATTGGGGATGTTGAAAGAGCGCAAAGCAGGATGGTCCAGAGAGAAAAAAATGACAGGAGAGCAAGAGATAACTTTAAGATTATTGTATTTGCTTTGTTCTGATAACCTTATCAACGGCATGCATGCGCTTGTGTGTGTGACTGAGACTTTCTCTGTCTGTATTGATAAAGCTGCTGAGCACTGCTGGGGGGGGGGCATCATCAGAGTATCACGAGTGCCCTAAATTACAAATAATCTCTTTAGCTAATTTCTGTCTCTTGTTACTTGCAGGACTGACAACGCCATAAAGAACCACTGGAACTCCACTATGAGGCGGAAGGTGGAACAGGAGGGCTACCTCCAGACCTCCTCAAAGAACGGCAGCTCTTCCCTCTCTGTCGGCCATGGCTACGTCAAGCCCACCAATAACATCTTGAGTTTTTCTCACCACTCACCCAGCCACGCACAGCTGTCTCCTCTCAACTACCCGTACATGTCTGACACACACAGAGTGAGTGCTTTCAAACTCGGTCACCATCCAGCTCCCTCTGCAGATCCGCTCGCAACGGTGGACTAATATCTCACTGTCTCTCCAGGTGCCCTTTCCAATGTCCCTGCATCTGAACATCTTGAACATTCCCCAGCACGGTACAGCTGCTATACAAGTAAGACGTTTTTAAAAAAATCCCTCTATTCTGTTAGAGTCATGTCAGGACAACAATGTGCTGACCTGGAACACCCCTTCCCCCGTTTCAGAGACACTATAATGAGGAAGACCCTGAGAAGGAGCAGAGAGTGAAAGAGATCGAGCTGCTGCTCATGTCAACAGAAAACGAGCTGAAAGGCCAACCATCACTACCAGTGAGTGAGATGTCTGGCCCCGACCTGTGAAACTGTGGCAGCCAAATTTATGTGCAAGTGTCTTTGACCCTGGCTGTCAGGACAGTAGTTGGACGTGTGTGTCTGTGTGAATAAGGAGGAGGAAACATCTGGGGGGTCTGTTTCTGCAAAAGTGATGAAACAGGACCATATCACCATTTCTGTGTGTGTGAGTGTGAGTGTGTGTGTGTGTGTGTTTTAGTGTGTGACCCTTGTGCAACCCTTCTCTACTCAACACTTCTGGTGTTCTTTATGGTAAAGTTCCCTTTATCCTCCTTCTTCTTCTCTTTGTTGAATGTTTACATGTTGTCTGTTGTCCCTGCTCGTGCTTGCGTTTGACCGGCGTTTCCCCGCTCTCACCCTCCCCTTCTTTCTCACCCTAGATGACTTTGCCCTATTCAAACTGGACCAGTCAGAGCCCTTTGATCGCCGGCTCAGATGGTACGGGCATGTCCTTACCTCACCACCAGGCACCCGCCCCGGCCCTGCCCCTGGACCAGAGCTGCCTCCCGGAGGAGAGCGCCTCAGCGGCCCGCGCCCTCAGCAGCAGCAGCAGCGTCCATCACAGCAGTCCAGCCTTCTCAAATACCATCCCAGAGTTCATGGAAGCTGTCATAGATTCAGTAAGTTCCTGAGCTGTAATAAAATTAAATAAAATGTTTTGTGCAAGCTGCATCCCGGGGAAACAAATGGCTAAAAACCTATCTCCACCAGTGGGCCTTGACCCATATTTGACTGCCCTTTTCTCAGAGCCTGTCCTTAGAGGGCGAGGCCGTTAGCGGCCGCTCTGTGGATCGCAGCATTCTGAAAACAGGCTGGGTCTGTCCCAGTCAGAGCTCAGGAGATGCTCAAGGAGCACAGCTTGCTTTCGTCCGCTCAGCCCCCACGCCTACAGCAGTCAGACCCTTTTCACCCTCACAGGTAGCTGAGATAGAGGAGTGTTATTAGAATCCATTTAGTCACCGGCCTCTCTCCTGAAGGCATCACCAGCCAATCACTCAGACCCCATGATTCTCCGATCCTTCACCTCCTGAGGCACCACTGCTCTTTTTAGTCTTTTCCTCATCATTTGTACGTCCCCCCCCCCCCCACACCGACATGATCTATGAGACTTCCTCTGCCAGGCTTACTTGATTGATTGCTTTCCTTTCCGTTGCTTTGCAGTTTCTCAGCCAATCGATGAGTTCAGAACACTCCGCCGACAGTTTACGAATGAGCTCGCCCGTGGACTCCAGGCCTCTTATGGATCACTCTGCCAGGCCGCACAAAGAGAACGAGATGTAAGTGGCTTTTCTTCCCATATTTATTCCTCTGATCTGTTGTTTGCAAGCTTTTCTAAGCATCTCTCTCTTTTTTGTCTCTCTCTCTAAGATTCCGAACCCCTAACATTCGTCGGTCCATCCTGGAGTCCACTCCTCGCACACCCACTCCGTTCAGGTCACCTCTGGCCCTGCAGGAGGCCAAGTACGGCCCTGTGAAACTTCTGGTAAGAGAAGAGAAACAAAGGCAGAGTTTGTTGTGGGAGCTACTGTCGTGCACGCTAAGGTTTCTTTGGAACTCACCTGGAGAGTTGTGCCTTTTCCAGACTGCGTCTTTGGAGCAGCAGATGATCGAGTCCATAAAGCAGGAACCAATGGAATGCGCCATTGAGCAGCCTCCTCTTAAAAAGATCAAACAAGAGGTATTTGCCACACAACATGAGCGTGCACACTTTATCTGGATGTTAAAATACTGGTGCACAGTGGTTGACCGTGAGCTGCCTCGGCCCCCAGGTGGAGTCTCCCTGTGAGAGGAGTCCATGTGTGCAGTGGGAAGCACAAGAACTCAACACGCAGCTCTTCTCCCCCAACGGCCCGGCGCAAGAAGTGCCTGTGAGTTCCCACATCAGCTCACCCGTGTGGGATAGCTCTGATTAAACGAACCTCAATGCCGCTGCTTCCAGTGCAGCTTAAAGTTAAAACACGCTTTCCTTTTTTCACCCAGGACCTGCTCACCAGTTCACTCCTGAGCGAGGACGGCCACAAAGCCTACCACCTCCCTCACAGAGGCATGAACAGCCCACTACAGGTGTGCGCACGCCGGCGTGCACGGATTTGCATAAATGAATGAATCCAATAGTCAGCGCTGCATGCGAACCATGAAACCTCATCGCCCCCCCCCCCCTCTGTTTTTCTCAGCAGCAGCTCAGTTCCTGGGAGCAGGTGACCTGCGGGAAGACAGAGGAGCACACTTTGGCCTCCGAGCAAAGCCACAAATACATCAACACTTTCTCCACGAGGACGCTGGTGATGTAGCAGGGTCCATCTGGACTGGTCCACACTCCCTCGCTGGGCAAGGCGGCGCGGGTTTCATATTTGTTGTGGTACAACAGTTGGGAGAGGCTTTATGCCACTGGTGTTTTTACACTCAAACTTGTTGGATTTCAACCAACCAAAGACTAAACTTTTTAACAAGAATTTCAGTCCTTTGAAAATAGAACTTGATTTGGGGTTTTTATAAATGTGCATCCTATCTCTTTTGGTCTTAACTGTGTATTATTCCTTGTTGTATTATAAATGGGAAACGGTGACTATGTTTGCATTGGGCTGTATTATTAGTTACAAATTTTGATATTAATATAAAGAACAAGTTGATTAATTTATTTGTTTTGTTTTTTTTGTGTTTTTTTTTTTTTCTTTCTCATTGTTGTTTTACAATTGGCCAATGGAGCAGTGTTGTCATTTTAAGTATTTAAGCCCTGTTAGCATTATTACGTATCCAAAGGCATGAGAGTGATTTCAAAACTGACATCTGATATCACTCGTGAACCTATTTCACTTTCCTCTTTTTTCCTGTTTAAAGGCTGTATGGGTCTACTGAGAATTTCAAAGGTTTATGTCTGTGCCGCCTCGTGTAAACACTCATAGGAACTGCTATGTCTGTTCTATTTTCATTACTCAACTTTGGAATGGCACCAGTCACAGTAGTATTACCTGATTACCACAATGCCAGCTCTGTTTTCATCAAAAATGAGTTTTCATTTCAAATGTCTGTTTTATTTCCTGTATTGGGAAGCATTCAATGAACAAATGATAATTGCTGTCTGAATATGAGTATATACGTTTGGAAGGTGGGGGAGGGTGAAAGACTACACTATTTTTACATTCAAATCTGAAAAGAGCGTCAATGTTTGACACTGTGAGCCCCACCCAGTAAAACCAAGCTGCGTCTGAATTTTATATTTTCCCGAAAAAAAAGTAATAGTAACAAACACTGATATTTTTATTTTATACTACAGACAAAAGCCCAGTTAAACTTGTGTATTTTTTCAAATAGTTTTGTATTGTTTTGTAAAGGATACTCCATCTGCATTCTATTTTCTCAAAATACTGCAATCTCTCATGTCAAACACTTAGCAGACAATCTCTTTTTTTACAATTTAATACATTTTTTAATACTAGCTTTGGAGCGACAACCTTTTTTTTATAAAAGCATTTATACATCCCTAGTTTTGATGTTTTTATACTTTTCTATACTGCCTAGCAAATAAAGTGTGCTGTTTTTATTACATGCCTGTGTTCCGTTTTGTTTGAGCATCATATTGAAACTTGCTGTAAAGTTGTTGGACGATTACTTAAGTCCCTACAAACGTTTGCACTGAAGGAGTCCTTCACTCTCCCATGTTTACCATATCTCTGAAATTCAAATTTTCAAATCCATCCAACATCCCTTCGCCGGTACAAAGGTTTGTTGTTCTGTGGTTGTGTAGACCCTGTCGTAAAACCTTTCTTCCATCTTCCATTCACTCAAAGACTGGATGGTTTATCAGACAGAGAGGGAAATAGGCAAATGTTCCCAACCGTTGGCTCTTTATCTTCAGATAAGGGGAGGAAACCCTCGTGCCCATTCCTGAAATACAAAATGTTCATGGTGTTTAACACCTATCAGCGTACATGAACGTGGAAAATATGAAAACGCGCTGTGTGCACATACTGCAGAAAATACATGCTCTGTAGAAAAACACAAGTATGAGCTCTGCGTGCAGTCTCTTGAGGGCTCTTGCTTTCCTGTGGGGAGCAGCTAGCCAGGGGGCCCAGACTCACACCAGGAGCTATATTTACAACCCCTCCCCTCCAGGGTCTCACATCCTCCCCCTACTCCCTCCAACCACCTGCATCCCCACCTCACCCCCATCCACCGCACTACCCTCAAATATAGATTCCCATCTGAAGTGGCAGTCTCTGAGGGACACACGAACAGAAATGACATTAATCAAGACGGGCCCTTCGAGCAGGAACTACAATATTTAGCACAGGGCTCAACAGAAATAACTCCATTGGGGTGCACTCATGCTTGTTTCAACACTAACCAAAATCTAAATATATACATAAATATATACATTTTACATATATATATGTGTATATATAGCTTAAAAAAGGCTCCAAAAAATCTTTTTCAGCATGTGTGGTTTGGTGTGTTGGTATGTGTGCGTGTCTAGGTGTCTTGCGGAAACAGGCCAGAGCAAGAAGCAGACTTTCACAGTGGGAATTTCACCATCTCTCTACTACACCCAAAAGCGGTAAAAAAAAAAAAAAAAAAAAAAAAGACAAGGCAAAGCCCCAAACCCCTCGAGATTCACAAACACCTGCTCCCACCGACTAGCAGGGCAGCTGCCCCTGTGCGAGTGCGTGCTGAGGGGCGATGGCTCATGGACAAAAACAATATAAACTCAGATGGATAACGCTAGACATAACACACAGTGAAGTGCAGTGGTTCCTAGCAGCCCGCTGCCGGGACCACATGGCTGCAAGCTCTTGAATGTCTGTTCGTTTTACTGAGCAAAAAGGCTGAATACATGTAGAATGCGACTGTTTTCAGAATTTGAGAGAGGCGAGTAGACCCTGATACTGCAGAATATCATTGAAAATACTTGTTTACAATACTGTGAGCAACAGGCACCCTTTTTCTCTGGTTAGATCTCGATGAACTTCTCTCACAGCTATCCAGCCCTACAAGCCAAAGCAGAAGTGCTCGTTCACTATTACAGGTTTTTTTTTATTTTTTTTTATTCCATCCTCCTTTCCCTTTTCAAATCAAACATGCCTGTCGCAAGCAGATTGGCTCATAAATTCAGTTTGAGTGTCACAATCGATTTATAGCCGGATGTTGCAGAAATGGCGGGCTCCTGAGCGTGTGCGTACTCACTCACAAAAGACACACAGGCCATGAATACACATGCAGCCCAGTGTGCTCTGGCTCTGCTAGTTTGATTTCCTCATTCCCTGACTGCTGTTGTGGTCGTAGATATTCAGGCGCAGACCAGCCGCTCCCTGCTGGCAGCGGTCAGGTAGGAGGGCTGGGCTGGGCTGGGGAAGCCTGATAACCCCCCCCCCCCCCCCCCCCCCCCCTTTTTTTTTGCGGTGGGGGGGGGAAAAGAGCGGGGGGGGGGGGGGGGGGGGGGGGAGGGGGAGGGGGAGCACTAACACCCCCCCCCCCCCCCCCCCACTTGTTTTATGGTGCAAAGATGAGGGGACAAACATGGGCAGTGAGTGATCGGAGTGAGAGAAAGTCTGAGAAAGAGCGGGAGTCAGTGAAGCCGAAGCACACTTTATCAAATGTCTACCAGGACCAATGGATTTTTGCACTACAAGTCATTTATACAGAGTTAGCAAACTCATGTTTTAGCCAACTCAAATGAGAAGATCGATCTGTAGAAAATAAGCACAGTTAGGTTGAGCCTTTAAGGACCGACAGCTTCTGTGAACTGTAAAAAAATAAAATAATCCTCACCGATAAATTTAACATCAATAACCCGGACATACATGTTAGAGTCTAATTTGAGATGGTACAAGTCACACATAGTTTCCCCATTCCTCTCACTGAAGCCGATTCCAGCTGGGGATGGATGAGAGGTGGCACAACTCCGGCTGAACCCAGAAACACACAAAAACACACAGTCACACTTACGCTTGCTTGACAGGCAGTGGAACCATGCACAGTGGGAACATGTACGCTTTATACATGGAGGCTGGAAGCCAAAGAAAGACAGTTACAAAAAATATCGAAATATTTTGGTAACAAGAACAAAAGTAAAGTTCTAAAATGCATGAACACGTTAGTGTTATGCACCTAAACTCAGTTAGGTTAATAAGTGCCAAAACAGTCATCTATTTGCTTTTGTGGTTACTAAATATTTAATAGATTGTGATCATTGATGGCTTGAAATATCAGTATGCTGATTTCATCTGAACCTACATGCATGATGGACGTCCAGCAGAGAAATTTAGAAGCAACACGTCTTGAAGGTTTCTGTCACACTAAGTTTATTCAGCTTCCACTGACAGAAGTCAAGTCACTATGTCAAGAAAAGATGGTTGGCAATTACTTTCGCACCTGTGTCCTTAGACGTAATCAAAAATGGGACCCCTGAAATGTGCACGACTTGTGGATTCTGATTGGGAAAAAACCCCCCAAGAAACTAATTTAATGATTAATTTATTTTCTTAGGAAACAGATCAGGAGAGGTTTAACAAGCCACTGTTTGTTTAACAGGCCACTGCTGTCTGCAGTCAAAAGCCAATAAACATCATGCACAGCAGATGTTTTAATGACAATTATTTGTAACAATTTCTATATATGACACAAGCCTATCATGACACCCGAAAGGGAGCAAATGATGGCTAATGTTGTGTTATCGGTAGTGACGCTCTTTAACCAATGAAAAGCTCCGCTCATGCCGTGGTGACTGTCAGGTAACCTGTACTGTAAACTGTTGCTACGGCGACATGTGTCATATGTGTGTCATGTATATTAATACATAGACATAGGTTACCCATTAGCAGATAGAGGTAAAAAATACAGGACCATGTTTGATATCCACGTGAGGGACAAAACACATGGCCCACAGGCAACCACTGGCCCCCAATCAGAGAAGGCACATATATGCTCACACACAACAACAACACACAGATTGAGCCGATAGACGCTGCCCATGCGGACAAAGAGACTGAGAGGGCAAAGATAGGCGGGTAAGAGAGCTAAACACACACACATACATACACACACACTCGCAGCGATGGGGGACTGGTGCTGAGGAGATTAGCGTCGTCCGCAACAGTTTCTGCCTTCCCAGATTTGGCTGCCATTCGTTTGGCCGTTTGTTGTTGTTTTTTCAGGAGCAAAAAATGTATAGACCAATGTGTCTGCTGCAGATAGCCCAAAACAATAACTGTGAACATTAAGAGAAAGTAGGTCACAACTACCCGAATGGTGCCAACGGTGTCAATGAGCAAAACACACACGTTAATTCGCTAATAGCCGGAGAGTCAGATAGCCAGATAAAGGACACTTAATGGCCGGGGAGATTGTTTACAGTTGCTTTCAAGAAGTCCCCACCTGACAACACGAGTGGGGTTTGCATCACTGCACCTACTTTTCAATGAAAGTTCTTTTCCCCACACAATGTTACCAAGTTACAAAAAGATCACCTCACATGTCTCATATTAGAAAAGAGATATCACTTTCATTGAAAGTTTATTACCTTTACTCTCAGGGTGCTCGCTCTCACTTGTCTGCTCTCATATTGAACCGCAAAGAGAAAAGCACAGAACAACTTGATTAAAATAATAAAGTGGCCCGATGGAAATGGCAAACTGTCTGTTTCTTTCATGAGGATTGATGCAGAGTATGCTGTGCAAAGGGGGATCTCGGAGAAAGCATTGAGGCTATGCTCATAATGTGGAGAATTAAAATATTTATTAACAAGACTGCTCCATCCCTTAGCTGGGGAGGTTCCTTAGACCTTTTTAAATATTTTTTTACTCAAACCTATTAATGTCCTTAAAGGTCAACTAATCTAAAATCTGAATGTTTTCCCCAATTAATGTTTTCAAATGATTTTCCAGTGCACGCATTTTACTTCTGTCTCCATTGCATACAGCACATCTTGACAAACTCTGAGAATACGGCTAAATAAAACAAAAACATTAACTACTAATATACAGACAATATTTCCAGGGTGTATTTTTTCTTAATTTAAACTATCCTGCATTTTCAGAGTCTTAAACACTGTGTGGACTTTTTCCTGAATCTCATTGTGTCACAAGCTGAACAGGATCTTCACGAGTAACCACAGACACACAGAAATGGACGAAAAGGTGTGCAGATATTCTCACAGCCTTGTGGTCAAGTTTGACAACCAGGTCTCAGTCTTGTTGGTCCCACTCCAAAAAAAAAAAGATAGAAAAAAACCCATCTATATAGACACGTGGCAGACACTTCCTCTCAGAGCCCCATGTTGTCTACTTTCACACTCGCTTGGTCTAGGTTTTGTTCGCAATTCTCACACGCAAATTCACACAGCAAAAAAAGGACAAGGCTGAGAGACAAAAGAGAGCAATTTTTCCCATGAGCAAAGGGAAACATCTCTCCTTCTTCTGTATTAGTGTGTTTTTTATGCCGCTGTATGTGTGTCAGCGCTCCTGTAAGTAGATTTGGGTTCAAGACTGGGGGAGCGGGGCCTGAAGTTTTGTCTTGGAAAATTGTGCTTACATACAGT